GAAAAAGCCAACGGCCCCGCGTCGCTGACTCGCCGGCACTATCGCTGTGGGGCCCTGGACCGGCCAGCTCCTCTCTCCGAGTCTCCTTGGTCCGTTTATTGGGAAAATGACGTCTGTCAAAGGATTTTAGAAATTTAACACAGGTCTGGCATATAATCTCACTAAGCATCCTATGTCTCACTTAGGAAGTGGGTTGAACGATAGCACCCGTTTAAAGAAAGTCCCCCCAAGCCGAGCATGAAAGGAAGTAACACGGTAAATGACTGTCACGCAGCGCTGAGCGCCTGGGAAACCTTAGCCGGCGTGAGTGCATGGGAGAGGCGCAGGCGCCCCGAACCCAGGGCTCGCCGGCCCCACCCCGGGAACAGAGTTCTGACTGAGCTCTCCCACGCTGGCTGCCCAGGCTCCCCGGGCTTGTCGGGGAGCGGGCTGAACTCGGGGACCTCTACCCGGCGCTGACAGTCCCTCATCCCTGGAATCCACAGGCAAACAAAGGACTTGGCTGGGCGCTTTAAACGGGCTGTCTACATTAATGACCACAACCCTGGGAGGGCGTCAGGGGGGCCACACACACTGTGTGGCCGGGCTCCGCCTGGACACTCAGGTACGTTAACCCACTTTGCACTCATACTAATACTCATACGGCCTCTCTCTTACAGCTGAAGGAACTGAGGCACCGAGGGCCTGGCTCAAGTTCACACGAGGGGGGCGCGGCCGCAGATCTGGGCTTCCAACCCAGGCTGTCTGACTCCAGAGCCTGAGGTCTGAACCGCTGCAGGCGCTGGCTCTTAAGGGTGGGCTTTTGCCTCTCGTTTATGAATGAGAACAGTGAGCCCAAGGTCCTACGGACAGTTAGCGGGAGAACCCAGGGTGAGAACCCAGGCTTGTCCGGCTGCCATGGCCGCGCGCTCTGTCCTGGCCTGCGCCCAGGAGTGCGTTCCAGGAGCTGCCCGGGGGGCCAGCAGCCCCGGCGAGGCTCCCAGGAGGAGGGGTCTGCAGAGAGCCTTAGGCACCTGGATCTAATGAGCCAGAGCTCTGCATACAAGACATCTTTCTGTCACTACCAGCCTCTGCCACGTGGGGTGACACCACAGCCTTGGAGCGGCAGGAGCTCCGGGCCTCAGCCTCTGAGTCCACAGGGAGCTTCCTGGGCGTGTCGACCCAGGACTCAGATGCCCTCGCGCTGAGAGCGGCCCTGCTCCGAGGGGCCTCCGGTCTCGCTTCCGGCGCTGTGAGGCGGGGCGGTCGGGCCTCAACTCCTTCGCATCATCCGGGAGCTGGGAGGCCGAAGCAGCCACCGTGTCTGAGTTAGGGAGGCAGAAACTGCTGTCTTCCCCAGTTCTTGTACTCAATGGAAGGTCACCAATTGACCTTTCTAAACTGCACATGGTGCTTTGGCAAATGCGACCCAGATCCCACTGAACCTCACAGGTTTTCTGAGAATTTATGAGCCACGCCACTTTTGTAAATGAGCCCAAATTACCGGTGTTCTCTGAAAACACAATTAAAATAATATTTCCCAACATCAAATAGACTTGGGAATACAGAGTGTAAAATCATCTCATGGATATTTTAATCAAAGAAGAGCCCTATACTACTGTCCCCAAAATGTGCTAAAACACTACCCATCAGACGATGTCCCTACATGACTCAGCTCCCCACAGAGGGAGGGAAAGCCACCGCCTGGCACCGGCACCCCGGGACTCCTCCCCGGACCTGCGCCTTCCCCAGCCAGGCGCCCGCCCGCCGCTCCCACGAACAACACAGCCATCGCCGGTCCAAGAGCGCAGCCCGCACTTGGGCGACCAAGTGCTCATCCGTGCAGCTGCTTCTGGGACGTCCTGACTCAAACTCCATTTCGGCTTCTCCTTCGAGTCCCATCTCAAATGCCACCCTACGTGAAGCCTCGCCTTGCCCCTCCGAAAGTAAAATGATCTCACCGTCTGCCGAACCCCCAGCGTCTCCGTGCCGCGTGCACACATACACACTGATGGCGGTCCACGGTAACGCCTCTGTTGTCATGGCCTGTCCTGACCTTTGGCGTGTTAGCTGATTGGGCCATGAACGCCTTAGGGTCAATCAGCCTCACGCGGTGCTCACAACACAGGAACTCGGTAAACAGTTACCAAATTATTCTTTTATTAATGATGCTAACGAGACAGTGATTCCTCTGGCGTATCAGCTATGGGCCAAGGATGGTATTCATGTACGGAATCTAATTTAATACTCAAAGTCCTGTGACTCGGGAAAATGAAGGCTTAATGAGCTTAAGTCGCTTGTTCAAGGTCCCCCCGCAAGCCGTGTCCCCGCTGCTAACAAAGCAGCAGGACGGACATTGGGTCCGAATCCAAGTTTGTTAGACTCCAACCTGGTCCCCAAATCACCCCAAGATAAAAGGGATACAACTAAAAAAATACAGTGCTTTCAACTTTTAGATAAATAAGTTTAGAAAAATACACACCGAAACCTCAGCTTGTGGCAGTGAGAAGAGCTACTTTTCAAAATTAATCTCTCCATTAATTCAAAATTATCTTTGAAGGACCTTGATCACTGCAGCCCAAGAAATACATGAGATGGAGGAAGAGACTGAGGCTTCCATTGGGAAAAATTATTTTACAACTAAACCCAGTCTGGATATGGTAAGAGAAGAGGTGAAAGCTTAGGCATCTGGCAGAGTAGGTTGAAATTCTGGGCATAGCGTGTTTAGCCCTGGTCCTTGGGCATGTTACTTAATCTTCCTAAGTCTCAGTTTCCCCAAATGACAGGTGACAAGACTAGTAATTGCTTTAAGAGATAATGCAAATATTGGGCGGGTATAAGGCGTGGAACTCAGCAAACAATGGCGCCACTGCTGCTATTATTAAAAACAGTATTTTCACGCAAGTGGCTGTGTGAAGCCAGCCCCCTTCAGAGGCACGGAGCTGCGGTCACTGGTCCTGACTTCTCGCCCGGAGACCGGACGCCCCGCAGAGCAGAAGGGGACCAGAGGCCAGCAGCGCAGCGAGCCCCTGAAACCCCGCCTTCCCTCCTCTACCCACGGACACCCCGCCCCGTTCTTTCTCCAGACCCTGAAGAACTGAACTTCCAACTTGTAAACCAAGTCGGCTCCTCCCTGGAGGCCCACCCATCGGCCGTCTCCCGTCTCCTTCCCAAGCCGTGGTACCGGGTGCCCGTCTCGTGGGCAACGGCATCACACCTGCCACCTTGGCCTTCAGGGGCTTCTCGATTATTGTCCGGTCCTCAGCGTCCTCAAGGGTCACTGCACAGATGCACTCCCAGAAGGTGCACGCGGCTGTGACCTGCAGAGCGGGGCCCAGGGCAGGCCCTCCGCCCACCCCGACTGATTCCGCCCCCTGCTCAGCTCCCCCAAAGCAGCAGAGGATCAAAAGCGTCGGCCAATGTGTTCGTGTCTCTACCTGCCACCTGCCACCCTGGATGGCTGTTAAGATCTGAAAAGTGCTGCCTCATTTAAATAACACACAGAACAGCTATGACTAAGGAAGGAGTTGCAGACATTATTGATTATGGTGGTAAACAAAACCAGTGTTGAAAGCAACAGGCTTTAAAAAAAAAAAAAACCAAAAAAAAAAAAAGAACCCTGAAAAATCCCTGAGCTATTTGTCTCCTGGAAACCGTGTGCCTGGGAACCCAACATCTGCAAAAATGGCCTCAAGAAAACCAATTTTTTTTCTCTTCCTGCTTTTCCCATGGAGGCAGAACACAAACATGAAGCTGGATTTGGGGTTTCTCTCACATGTTAGCAAATTACAATGAAAACAAAACAAAACATTTTCGCATGCAAGGTGCAGCCCCCTCTCAAACCGGCACCCTGGAGCCCACAAGAAGTCCGCCACCAGGCACACCCATGACGCGCAAAGTTCCTGCAGGGTTAGCACGAAGTTCCGCGGCTGGGTCCTGGGATTCTGTGGTGTGGGCTGGGCAGTTTTCATTCTTTTTTCTAAATTACTGAATGATCTCCCCCTAAAGTCAAAGAAAAGATCCAAACCTAAGAGATACAACAGATGATCTTAACATTCACTGCGATTTGCAGATGCAGCCACCAAAAATATCGCTTGCCTCCTCCTTTTTAATTTCCGATCTGTTATCTGTTGCCTGTCCAGGGAGGGGGAGGGGGCGGAAGACAGGGACCGAGGGGAGAGCGCGCAGCAAGGGGGCCTCCAACACTTTCACAACATCACAGGAACCAGCTTTCCTGAAGAAGCACCGCCAAATCTCCCACCAAGAACTCCGCAGCCTCTTCACATGCGTAAATTGTTAGATGATTATCACCCTAACATCCACACATGCAGACGCGCACGGATGTGTCCGTATAGACACGCGCACACAGTCCATGCGCCCGGAGGCGCCCGCAGGGAGGCTGCCACAGGGAAGGACTGCGCGGCCCGGGAGGCCCTGGAAGAAGCGCCGGCCTTGAGACCGGCCCCTGCAAGCTCCCAGCGGAGCTCTTCCGCGAGGAGTTGTTCTCTGTTCTCTCACAGCTGCGGTCAGCTGGGTCCCTTTGGCACTTTCACCGACCCGGCAGGAGGTGGCGAAATGGGCACGGGCGCCCCAACCGGGGAGCGGGAGTCCCCTCCACCGCTTAGCAATAGGTCCCCTGCCCCTGTCGCTGGCCCCGCTGGGGCTCACCTTCCCGTGGCAATCTGGCAGCAAGGCCACCGCGCGGATGAGGTCAAGATGCACCCCCGCGGCTCACCCCTTCCCCAGGCCCCGACCCCACCCAGCCCCTCCGACAGTCCCTCCGCTCCCCTCCCCCGCTCCACCGCCAACACTGCAGCTGCCGCAGGGGTGCGGGGTGGCGCGCGGGGGAGACGGATCGGGGCGCCCTCCGCACCCTCCCTGACGCGCCCCGGCAGATGTCCGCTGGGGAAGGGTCTGTCCGCGAGTTGGAGGAACTCGCTGGGCCCAGGCTGGGGCGCCCTTGCCTCGGCGGGGCCTCCGCCCGGCAGGAAGGGGTGGGCGCGGGCGGGCGCGGGGCTTACCACGAGCACGGGGACCCCGGCGGCCAGGGAGTAGAGGAGCGCGGGCGGCACGGCGCTGCTGTCCTCCGGGCCCGGGTAGGGCTTGCGGTAGGCGCTGTCGTGGCAGAAGAAGCCCTGCACGTTCACGGCGAACGTGTCCGTGTACTCGAAGTAGTACGCCAGCATCACCGTCCCTGCCATGATCACCATCTGGAAATAGAGCATGCTGCTGGGGAGCGCGGCGGCCGGCGGGGGCATGCAGCCTCCCGTCGCCGAGGAGCCGCGGGCGCGGGCGCGGGCGCCGCCGAGGAGGAGGCGCGGGCAGGGCCGGGCCGGGCTGCGAGGCGCGGCGGGCGGGCGGGCGGCGGCGGAGGCGGCTACCCCCGGACGGGCCCCCGCTCCCCTCCCCGCCCCCGACCCTCCGAAAGCGCCGCCCGCCCGGGCGCGGGGTCGCGCGGGAGGGCGGGGAGTCCCGGGCGCGGGAGCATCCGCGGGCGGCGGCGCCGGGTCGAGCCCCCAGGCCCGCGCGGAGGCGGCGGCGTCGGCGCGGACAGCGGCACCTGCGCCCCTCGGAGGACGGACGCGGCGGAGCCGGAGATGCTCCTCGCGGGGGTAAAACCCCGGAACGGGGGGGAGGGGAGGCGGCGGAGAAGGAGCTGCTAGGAACTCCCTTCCGAGGCAGCCGCTGGGCGGCTTAGGAAACCCGCACGGCGCCGGGGAAGAGGGTGCGTGCACGCGTCCTCCGAGCGCCAACGCCAGCGAAGCGCCGGGTGGCGGCGACTGGCAGCCCGCGCCCCTGGGCTTCCCTCGCGCCGCGCAGGACACGCGCCCCGCGCCGGTTTCCGGGCGCAGCTGTGAAAATCATCTCAGAGGCTGGAGCTTCCGAGCCTCTGCCTCCCCGCCAGCGTCCCAGGCTTTGCGTGCAAACGCGCAGGGATCCTAGCTCGCCGCCTCTCCTCCAACGGGCCCTGGCTTGGTCCTGCGCGCTCCTCCTGCTCCTCTTCCGTCTCCCATTATTAGCTGCTTGTGATACGTGGCAGTGCGGATTCCCGGGACCCGGCGGGGGCGGCCACCAGGGGGGAAAGGGGCGTTTGCCTCCTCTCGCTCGCTGTTTCGAGTCCTCGGAAACCGCCCGGGTCCCCGGGGGCCGGAGGCAAGGCGAACGCACACCGCTTGCATGCAGAACAGGCAGGCAGAACGCGCCCTGCGTGGGTGGACACGCGTATGCGCGGGCGGGGAAGTCGCTGTGGAACCTCGTCGTGAGGCCATGTGGGTCCCTGCCCTGCGTGACAAGTTTAAGCAGCAGACTTCTTGGGGCGGGAGGGGGGCGAGGGGCGGGGAGTCCCGGGGCCTGACCTGCTTGCACCCCGCCCCCCTCCGGGGAGCAGGTGAGGAAGCACGTGCACAGGGGGCAAGGCGGTGAGAACACGCCTGGATAGATGCCTGTCTTAAAACGTATGATTGCCCTCCGGGTTTCTGGAATGTTCATTCATTTTAATGGGTTGTAGCTTGATGATTTTTTGGAAGTGGGCCTTGTCATCGGAAAAAGCTACACTGTAAGGCTAAAAAGACCATTTAAATTTGGCAAACGATTGATAGTTTGGAGATGCCCGTCTAATGACGGTGGGAGTTTCCTCACCGCCGGATCCCGCAACCCCCCCTCCGCCCCCGTTATCACAAACCTCGTTTAGTAGCTAATGGCTTAGCGTTTACCAGGTAGAGGATACCGAACAACGATTATAATGAGCAATGGGAGTAAACTGTCCCCAAACGGACCCGAGCGGCTTACGGTGATGTTATGCCATGTAGACGGAGTGACTACTGCCAAGTTAGACGGCTTGTCGCTCCATTCAGAAAATTGCTCTAAGACTGCGTTAAAACTGCTCCTCTGGTTCTCAGTAGGATCCACCGAACCTTCGTACTTAATGGAATTTTTGGAACAATGGTGTTAATTTTTAAGTGCAGTTCTTAAGGATACCTTTGGGATAAGGAGAGTCTAATATAGGCAATGTATTCAATCTAATGAAAACATGCATAATTTTCGAAATTGAAGTACACTGCAATGCATCGCTAACGTGTACTGAGTGCCTAGCATGTCTGCATAACAAAGAAGGTCTTCCATTGGTACTGTTCACAGCTCTGTCCCCAGTGGGAACACTGTGATTGCACACAGTAGGCGGTCAATAAGGACCTGCTACCACACACGGTAGGCGTTCAGTGAGGACCTGCTACTGCACACGGTAGGTGGTCAATAAGGATCTGCTATTGCACACTGTAGGCAGTCAATAAGGATCTGTTGAACAAATCAATAAACTTACTCCTTGAAGAACAACAGCGAAGTGTTTTCACATCTAAAATTTATGTCGAGGGTCGGGGAACCAGTTTTGTGTCCCCAGATAAGCACGGTTCGCATACTTACACAGCACGCGGACATCGGAGGGACGCTGGTCCGGCCTCAGCTCACATCCCAGCTCTGCCGCTGAACAGCTCTGCGAACCTGGGCACAGGGGCTTGACCTCCTTCTGCCTGAGTCCCCCGCCCCAGCAAGGTTGGCATGAGGACCAGTCCTACTCAGCTAATGACGTCTGGCGCATAATGAGCACCTTTATTGTGTGTAAATTCTATGAAATTTAACTTCTAGACATAGATGTACCTACGCGAACCTTGACTCAGGCCGTCCTAGCATCTGTCACTGGACACTTCCTTCTTGTTTCATTGCTTACAAAGTGATTCGGGGTGTAGCCATGTTTTCGTAGGTGGATGCATTTTTCCATAGATTTGTGCACATCCTGTCTTCTCTTTCGGATGCTATCCAACGCAAGAATAAAATACTCCTTCAGAGTTCTCAGTTTCCTGCTCATTTGTTCATAATGAGGTGGCCAAAGAGCGTTGGATGAGTCACGGTTGATGGACAATCCATTGCCGAAATGGAAGTCTGTACTGGATCTTTGCTCGTGCTATAAAGATGCTGACATTGAATGAAGCCACTGTGAATATTTTAGCAGATGGGTTTTTCACGGGAACAGGATGAGGTGCATGAAAGATCATGAGCTGCGGGCCCTTGGGCTGGTTTCTTTACCTTCTGAGCCTGTGCTTCCTTGGAGAGAGAAGGAACTAATTTTTCTTATCTCTGAGCTTATTTCAACAATTAAATATAAATGGCATTTATAACTCTTTTATTCTCCCATTTCTGGTGGTTCGTATTATAAATGCATGATTTTGCAGCCACTCTATCCCACCATATGTCTCCATCCGCAAAACATGAACCGTGATAAACACTGAGGCACATCTTGGGGGAGTTATTTGCTCATTTCAATGCCTTCCATCTCCCCACCCCCATCCTCATGTTCCAGCAAAAACGAGCCAGGGGTTAGCCCAGCACGGGGAGACACCGTCCTTGTCTGTATGGTGTATGACTTTTCTGCCACAGACAGAAGACAAGTGTACGCCAAGTCAGGTGGAGGGGATCTTCATGTTGGCACTGAGTGCAAAGATCTGTGTGGAATCTTTGTGGTTGGTTGGGGGGAGGGAGTGCATTTTTCTTCTTTAGCTTTGAAACCCAAAGGTACCTGCCTGTTAGAGGGGAACAAGGGATATACCTGCATCCCCGAGATTATTATCATTTGGGCTCTCAAATCTGTGAGCAAGAGAGCCAGATGGAGATTTTCTGCTAAGGCCCAAGAATTTGGCCTTCATTTGTTTGAAGATTGATTTTATTTATTTATTATGAGAGGGGACAGGGAGGGGGAAAAAAGGGGAAGAAGCATAAGCATCAATGAGAGAGAAACATTGATCAGTGGCCTCTCGTACGTGCCCCAACCAGGGACAAACTCGCATCCCAGGCATGTTCCCTGATCGGAAATCGAACTGGTGACCTTTGGCTTTGTGGGACGGTGCCCAGCCCACTGAGTCACACCAATCAGGAATGGCCTTCAGTAGTTTTCACACAGAAGTTTTTGGCAAAGATGCTGAGCATTTCCAAGGACCAAAGAAGACATGGTTGTAAACAGGTTCCCATGTGTTTCAGGGGGCACAGAGGCGAAGCCAGGCATTTTCCTGAAGATTTCTCATTCCATGGGCAAAAACAGAAAAATAACATCTTAAATGCAGAGCTGACATGGTGAGATAGAAAAGATTCAGAAGGCTCTCCACTAAACAAATGAGGATGCGTCTCCAAAAGAAGAGAATCCTCCCTTTAAAAACACCACCAATCTGTGTTCACAAGACTAAACCGGAGCTACAGTGTTTAAGGAAATTCCAAGTTATGTGACTTTGTCCTAATGAAGAACTTTAAACATTAACATATAGATTGGTAGGAGGTCTCCTGGGAATAGATTTGGAAAGAGATTTTTTTTTTAAGCCAGATAACTGCTTGTGCCTTCAGAATAGTAAGGGCATCTGGTAATTCATTCTGATAATTATTGAACTGCAGAAGGCAATGTCTTAATAGACTGTTATTGAATTAGACGTGGGGAATTAATAAATATAGCAGTTTACTAACTCCCAGACAATCTGATCTAGAGAACACCCCTGAAACTTGAATAAAAAATAGGACTGGCTAACTCAAGAAATGTCGTGCTTAAACATATTCATAACAAATTCAAAAATACAGCCCCCTCAAAAGCAAACTAAAGAGAGCTAGGAACGTTTGGGATCACACCTTTGAGCTGTTATTATTGACACCGAAGCATACGGCTTCCTCACAGAATGATCTTTGCTGCTTGATTTAGAAGGTCGCTGTTTTCCCAAGAAAACAGGAAGAAAAACAGGTAGCACAATAATTTGCTACCTGTCTGTCTTGGAGGTTCAGCCATAATGGGATGTTTCCCTCCAAGGCCAGCCACTTCTGACCCGGACAAGTGGTACCTATCTTCAGCCAGAACAGTTATCAAAACGGTCATCACAAACAAAGCACAGATTTTATTAGAGAACCTAGTCCACCAAAGGTGTAGGCATGACATTGCTGGGCTAAGTAAAAGAGCCAAAATTTATAAAACATTAAGGTTGGGAAAGAATAGAACAATTTAATATGTTATCAATGGAGCATTCCTGCATTAAAATGAAAATTTTAAACTATTAAGTTAGCGACAGTTCGTTGGAACGTGCTGATGATACTATGTGGCCATGACAACCACCTGGCCTCCCTGACCCTCAGTTTGCTCCCCGGTGAGGCTGGGTTCCTAAATCTTCCCAGGGACATTGAAAGGCTCCTGTTTATAAAACGCTTTGCAAGCGTGCAAGCCCTGGGCTCCCGAAAC